ATGAGCCCCGCAGGGCCGGTCAGAGGCCAGCGGGGCCCCGGGGCGGGCGGGGCCCCAAGAGGCCGCTGGACAAGGCTTACAGGCGATAATTCCTGTGAAGTTTTTCTTTATTAAACCAGAAACTATAATTTAACTCATCATGAGCAGTTAAGTTATAGTTTCATCATTTCCTGTTTGCTTTAATTCACAACAGTTAGAATATCTGGATCCACTGGCGGCTTTACCTTTTAATAAATCTGTGACTTAAATTTGTGATTTTTATTTTATTTACTTGTATTTTAATTTAATTTATTTGTTTTACATGTGGACCTATTTGTGTCTTTAACAAATGATGAAACTGAACAGAACAAGACAAAAGAGTGAAGAGGAACCATATTCAGTCCAAAGAGCCGGAAACTCGGTTCTGGTCCCAATGAGACTCATAAAAATAATACGAAGCATTTTGGTAAAAATGTTAAAACTAAAACCAGAAAAGAATAAAAATAAGTAGAATGAGATAAGCAGAGATTTATATTCAGCAGAAGGTTTTTAAAAAACAAAAATAAAATTAAATAATAATTAATAGAACCAAATAATTGCATATTTTAGAAAGTATTTCAGCCAGGGTTTAANTTCCACCTTAACTCCACCTTAAAATAATGGATCCACCTTTAACATCACCTGTTTGTGATGGTGTTTAGTGACGCCAAAGTTTCTGAGGCCCAACAGAACCAGAACCTTCGGGGTGAGGAAGTTAGTATGTCATGTGAAGCATGTGGAGGATCTGGACCGGTACCAGAGAAGGCGGGATGGAGGTCCAGGTCCTGTAGCTCCTGGGACTGTCCTCCTCCTCCTCTGGTCCTCCATCTTCCTCCTCCTCCCTCTCCTCGCAGCAGCAGCAGCTCCTCAGCCAGCCGCTGGCCTCCGTGACGCAGCGGGAAAACTCCTCCATCTTCCCTCCACTCCGACTCATCTGCTGCTTCTTCCTCCTCATGACTCACAAGGATCAGGAGAAGCAACAACCCCCCCCCCCACACCTCCTTCAGGTCCCATGACCCCTTCAGGTCCCATGACCCCCCCCCTCCATCCTGGTCTCTGGGAACAACAGTCTCCATTCAGACTGAGATGCAGGGATCTGCTGCCCCCTGCTGGCTGCTCTGGTCCCAGCAGAGCTCAGCATCTCCTCCTAAAGCCTGAAGTGGACCGGATCTGCACCCGGTTCTGTTCTCAGATGTTCTGACCCCTCATCAGCTGCTACGTCAGCACCGGCATCGGACCGAGCCTTTCTATCACAGGAAGCAGCTGAACAAACCGGGCTGCTGGGAGCCGGTCCGACCCAGAACCCGGAGATTCTTCAGGGGAAGCAGTGAGACCACAGCTTTGACTAAGCACTTTATCAGAACCAGAACCTTCTGTTGGGTCGGGCTCAGGCTGCAGCAGAGCTACTCTGCAGCTTCAGGCCTTCAGGACTCTGGGCTGACTCCATCTGGTTCTGGTTCCGTCTCTCCAGCTGCAGCTCCTGACCCGGTTGGAGACAAATTCCTGGAAGATGATGGGTTGGTTGTCTGATCAGAACCAGAACCAGTCCAGACCGGGTTCTTTACTGTGGACCCGGCTGGTTAGATGTGCAGAGATCAATAAATCTGATGATTATTCTGGACCAAACCAGACCGGACCGAACTGGACCAAACCACCTGAAACTAAGTGAAGTGTTGGTTCTGGTTCTGAAACGGTTTCTGCGGTTTTTCTTGGTTCTGCAGACATAAATAAAAACGGCACAGCAGTTTATTTATCAGAACTCTTTATTGGGCCGGAACCGGGCCGATCTCAGGTTCACTCCGCTTTGCTCCTCCTCACAGCTCCAGGCAGCCGGTCCTGCAGTCTGCGGCGGCAACACCGTCAGGTATCACCATGGAAACGGTAACCAGGCGACGGAGAGCGGACTCACCTCAGCAGAACCTTCTCCAGTTTGGACCGAAGCAGAACCAGCTGCCGATCGATCTGAGTCTGAAATCACAGAGAACCGGGTCGGTTCGGGTAGAGGAGGAGGAGGAGGAGGAGGAGGAGGAGGAGGAGGAGGAGGATCAGGAGGAGGATCAGGAGGAAGAGGATCAGGAGGAGGAGGATCAGGAGGAGGAGGATCAGGAGGAGGAGGATGAAGAGGATCAGGAGGAGGAGGAGGATCAGGAGGAGGATCAGGAGGAGGATCAGGAGGAGGAGGAGGATCAGGAGGAGGATCAGGAGGAAGAGGAAGAGGATCAGGAGGAGGAGGATCAGGAGGAGGAGGATCAGGAGGAGGATGTACCTTCTTCTTCTGGTAGATCAGCGGCGCGGTGAAGAAAACGACATCGGCTGCAAACGGAACAATAATCAACGACCATATTAGGATAGCAGGGTGGAGCCAGTGGGTGGAGGCGCTAATCAGCGCCTCTAGTGGTAACTGTGGGTATTACAGTAGTAGTTGATCAGGAGATGGACCAGAACCAGAACCACTCACCCAGGATCAGAATGGTGACGCCGTTGAACAACGCACCGACGTAGGTCATCAGCCACATGATGACCGCCATCTGCAACAGAACCAGAACCCAGCTGAGACCGGGCCACCAGACCGAGTCCTGCCCTCTGACCGGACCGGGTCCTGCCCTTTGACCTTCAGCGAGTCCACCAGGTCCTCCACCAGCAGCAGCCTCCTGGTCTGGACGCTCAGCCAGTTCAGGCGGTTCCGGCACCGCTCGGCCAGCTGCCGGGCCGACTCCGGGGAAACGGAGATGTTCTGGTCCAGCTGAGACCTGACAGAGGACCGGGGATGGGGTTAAAGGTCAGGGAGTCCGGAGGCTGGGCGGTTCTGTCGCCTACCTGAAGGGGTGACCTTCGTGGGACTTCTGGACCGCCTGGATCACGGATTTATAAACTCTGTCGGCAGGAAGCAGAGTCGTCATGACATCACCGTGACATCATTCCTCAGCTGAACTCCACCCACCTGAAGGTGATGGTGACGCAGAGACAGGCCAGCAACAGGTAGGACACGACGCTGATGACCGACAGTGTCGCCATGGCAACAAGAACCATCAGAGACGAGATGAACGCCGCCAAGGACTTCCTGGGATCCCTCCAATAGACGAGATGCAGGGCTGGTGAGATTGGCAGAACATGAAGCATTATGGGTAGAACCTGGTTCTGATCAAATCGGAACCTAGATCTTCAGATCCGGTCCGGTTCTGGTCCAGTATAACACAGTTTCATCTTCAAACACATAAATCCAGAACATGGTGTCTTCCAGGTAGAACCTGACCAGATTCTCATCCTGACTGCCGTCCCATTTGGACTTGCTTATGAAAACTGGTTCTGAACTAGTCCAGAACCAGCAGAACTATAATTCTTCTTCCACTTGCTGATCAGACACAGGCTGATGGACGGGTTCTGACCCATCTCCTCTCTGGGGACTGCACTCGGCATCAATAAGCCATGAAGACCCGCAGAACCAAGACGGAGATGTGGTCCAACTGACCTCCAGAACACAAGATCTACCAGAACCAGAGGAAGGTGATTGGATCTACCAGAACCTCCAGGACCTGGTGGGTCGGGAACAACCTGCCTCTGTTCTCAGAGCTGATCCGATCAGGTGACCAACGCCACGCAGCAGATTAGCAGGTCCGAGGTCCAGTTGGAGGTTCTGAAGCAGCAGCTCGGTTCTGTTGCAGGCTGAGGTTCTGCAGAGTTCTACCCTGGATTTGGCTCAGTTTAATGTTCTGTACTGGTTTAATTGGCTATAACTGGGCATACAGACTGGATTAGTGACAGCCAATCAGCTCACTGAACACAGCTAGTCTCCATGGCAACCACACAGCAGCAGGTGTTCAGGTATGTCTTACCTGCCTGAAAGAGCTCCATGGGTGATGAAGAGGAGTGGTTGGGTGAAGAAGAGTCCTCCATCTTCTTCTTCTGCAGTTTCTCAGACTCCAAGAACACTTTAACAGCTCAGGGGGCGGGGCTTCAGTCTCATGACTGTCTGATTGGTGGTTGGGGGCGGGGCTTCAGTCTCATGACTGTCTGATTGGTGGTTGGGGGCGGGGCTTCAGTCTCATGACTGTCTGATTGGTGGCTGGGGGCGGGGCTTCAGTCTCATGACTATCTGATTGGTGGCTGGGGGCGGGGCTTCAGTCTCATGACTGTCTAATTGGTGGACTGAACACTCACACGTTTGAATGATAAACCTTTATTAACAGATCATTGCAGGAAGTAAACAGCTGAGGAACCAAAGCAGGTTGATCAGAAACCAATAGTCACTAATTAATAATCAATAATCATAGAGCTGCTACACAACAGAGTGAGTTCGTACAAAACATCAGAGAGCAAACAGGAAGTCAGTTGTCAGCAGGAGTTCTGGAGGCCGAGCGACTGGAAAGAGAGAGAGAGAAAAACCATTAAAGCCGTCATAGATTTATTGATTATAGATTATAGTTTCTGGATCCAGTGCTCTGCCTGAACCCAAGCTATTTAAAGGAAGCATTCCCACTGACTCCGCCCCTTCGTTAGACCGGTGGACAGGTTCCAGGTGCTTCTGACCTTTGAACCCTTGCTGTCTGAGAGGACTGAATACCAAGCTATGCTAAGGACTAAAGCAGCAGCTGCTGAGGCTGACCCTCATGACCCCCCCATGACCCCATGACCCTGCCCCTTCGGGGTCATGGACCCCCATGGCCTCCATGACCAGACATGAATATGCAGACGTCTCATTGGAAGCCGACTCCTACGGCGATCAATCCGATCGCCGTAAATTTATGTACTTTATCGTCTATACAATAAAATACCTAAATTGTTTTTCTTCATATCTTGAAATGGCAAATGCACATTGAATTATGAAATGTAAATATGTTTATAAATACATCCCTGTATAGGTATGTGCGTGTGTTCGTCAATGCCAATATAAAAATGATTGATAAAAATCAATGTATCAATTAAAAACATTGTGCTTTTAGTTCAGAAACCCAAAATAATGAAATATTCAGATCAAAAAGTTAGAAACATTTTTCTTTAGTGACCGTTTTATTCCCAGACATATGAGAGAGAGAGAGAGAGAGCATGAACTAAAAATAGAACGTGGTAGCAGATACGCCCCATCCAATATGGCAGACACTGTGACGTATTGCACGGGCCGACCCGCTCAATGAGGCATCTACGCATTCATGTCTATGGACAGGACCGTCCTCGATGACCTCTATGACCTCCATGACCCCTCGATGACCTCTATGACCTCCATGACCCCTCGATGACCTCCATGACTCCCCTCTGGTCTCACCTTCTGGCTCGAGATCCTGAATGAGACCGGCCCATGGATCCGGACCTGCAGAGACAGAACCGTAGGTCAAGGTGAACTCTGCACTGAGCGTGCTCAGAACAGCGACACCCACCTGCTGCGGCACTTTGACACTGACCGGGACCGGGACCTCCCAGGAGAACCGGACTGCAGCCTTCTGGGTGAACCGGACCTGGATCTTCTGGGTGAGCTGGACCTGGATCGCCGAGGAGAGGACCTGGATCTGATGACATCACAGGGTCAGAGCCCGGCGCCGTGGTTCTGGACCAGCGGGTCGACAGAACTCACCTCCTCCCTCGACTCCGGCTGCGACTCCGGCTCCGGGAATACCGCCTCCCCCGGGACCTGGACCGGGACCTGGACCGGGACCTGGACCGGGATCTAAAGCGGATCGCATCATGAGACCAGAGCGGACAGGTGGCGTGATCTCAGGCCGGCCGCGGCGTACCTGCTGCGGTGGCCGCGGCGGCCGTAGCGGTGGCAGTCATAGGCGTAGTGGCCTTTCTGTCCGCACTCGTAGCACTTGTCGTCGGGGTCAAACGGTCGCCGTGGCGGCGGCCTCTCATAGCGGGAACGCCGCGGCATCCCGTTGGACGGCTCCACCCGGACCCGGCTGCCGCAGATCACCCTGAAACACGCCGACAGCCGGTCAGTCTGACGCCACGCCCGGCTCACCTGTGCTCCTGGGCGGTACCCACTTCCCGTCCAGCCCTCGGACGGCGTCCTCAGCGTCCCTGGAGTCCTCGAATTCCACGAAGGCGAAGCCCGGTGGGTTCCTGGCGATCCAGACCGTTCTGAGAGGCCCGTAGTACCCGAAGGCCCGCTCCAGCTCGGCCTTCCCGGCGCCGGTCCCCAGGTTCCCCACGTAAACCTTGGACTCTGCAGACAGGAGGCAGCGTCAGGGGGCGGAGCCAGCAGCTCCAACAGCCAATCAGAGCACAGGAACATCCTACCACAGACGGAGGCGGGGCCAGAGCCAACAGAACCACCAACAGAACCGCAAACAGAACCGCCATTAGATCAGCCAACAGAACCACCAACAGAACCGCAAACGGAACCGCCAACAGAACCACCATCAGAACCTCCAACAGAACCTCCAACAGAACCGCAGTGTGTAATATGCTATAATAATTTGCTCTAACGTTATCCACTCCGTATAATAAATATGAAGGTATGTGCTGGTGGGCGGGCTCAGCTGCTCTCAGCATGTTGCTGTAATTTCCGGTGCGCCACAAGGGGGCAGCATCCTCTCACCTGTTGGCTACTTGCTGAACCAGACTCCGGTATATTTCCCGCTAATTTAACAACTTCCGCCTGTTAATCAAACCCATTGATCTACGCCTGTGATCACATGAAACAAACACCACGGACAACACCTTAGGACACGTGCAGCAGGTACAACAGTGACGTCACAGACGAATGTTAGCCGTTAACCCTACTTATAGCTCGCCAGCTGCGAAAACTCTCCGAAACTATCCAGTGAGAGGGTACCGGACGGTTCTACGGACCGGTACTGATTAAGAAGAAAGCCACAGCGGGTTACCTCCTCCGTAACGCCCGAAGCGGGACATTCTGACACCGGACGGTTCTGATCGGTCCGCGATCAGGTTAGCTCTGCTGCTAACTGCTCACTGATCCAGCGCCGGAAACAAAGAAGGCCTTTTCCGGTTGGATTTCAGCGTAAAAGTTTGGTTAGATTGAGCTTTTAATTATTATATATATGTAATCACATGATCTCACACACACACGCATATATAATTATTTTAATTTGAACGGTTTGTTGTTGCTCAGTTCCAGGAGTGTGTGCTATGGCTCTGCTTATTAAAAGTTCTGTTCTCTTTAAATCAGTTCATTAATTATGATTTCATCATCTGTCTGTACGGGGCTGTGGAGCCACTCGACTGGACAAACATCCCTTTTAATCGTCAGCTTCTCACAGAGCAAAGTTTTGATCTGCTAAGTATTCAGAGTGTGGTCTCAGTAAACTGAAGGACCAGTAGAACTTGCAGTCTGGTACCACAGGGTTCTGGTAGGAACATCTGGACCAGTCAGATCTCTGATAGAGCTGATTATTATGGCCTCTATATGTGACAAGTAGAATCTGAGATTATAATATGGATTAAAAGGGAGCCAATGAAGGGAAGCTTCATCAGGAGAAATATTTCTGTTTTTAGTTTTCATCAGAACTCTGCTGCAGTGTTTGGACCAGCTGAAGTAATCCTGGCCTGCTATGATGGAGCTGCAACCATGAAGTCGCCTTTTCATCCCCTCTGGGACTTGAGCTCAGAGTTCAGGGATTATTAGGGCTTTTGCTGTTTCCGTTTGCAAAAACAATACATTGTTGCCATGGTTACAGACAAGTTTGGTAGGGGAAGGTTTTTGAATGAGAATCTCAAATACTGAGGAGGTTGAATGCTGAACTAAAGACCTGGGCTGATATTATCTTTGGACCTAAAGAGGAACGATCAACACACAGCTTCAGTTATTACAACTAAAAACCAGCGATCAGCCCGAAACCTGGGAGCAGTGATGGACTCTGACCTGAACCTTCAGAGCCACATAAAGGCCCGGTCCCAGTGCTCAGCGGCCTACGGCCCTGTGAAGAGTGGCTTAGTCCCATCAGGGGTCAGGGGTCAGAACGGCCCTGGGTCGCAGCTTCACATCCAACATGGCGGACTGGTCACTGTTTGGCTTTCTGCTGCTAAAAAGATCAACTTCAGCAAAACAGATTATTTGAAATGTTCAGTAAAAATATTTCTGCTGGAGAAATGTGTTCAGTTGTGACTTGTTGAAAACAGAAAACTCAATATAATCCCTCATGTTCAGGGAAACCAGCATTATTTAATACTTTACTTTGGAAAACTGATTGTATTCTGTATTTTTGCGACAGCTCGCTCATATTTCCAAGATATTAAAATGTTTTAATAATTTATCAGTCTATTTGACTAATAGAGACAGGATTTATTTTTACCCATAAAACCATCTGTTTTATACAAGTTAGTTTGGTATAAAGTGGAGCTAATAAAGATCAAGTTCAGGACAATATGCCATAAATAAAAATTAATAAAAATGTCTGATGCTACATGTGAAAAATAAAAAGACTAGTTGAACTAAAATGTCCTTTTTAAGAGAAACTATGGATGTTGTGACTTTATGAACCAAAACTGTTACAATAATTCATCAGTTTTCTCCTCTAGCCTGAGAAAAAAACATGTTTAAAAATCATGATGACGATAAGAACCAAGCAGCTTTCTATTCCACCCCCACAAAAAGATATTCATTTCATAATTATATATGAAGTTTTCCCTGCAACGACTTTCTACAGAAGAAATTAAAAATAAATATCAGTTCCTGCGTTTTGTGATGAGATTTTCAGACAATAAACATTTTTTAAATTGACTTCATTAAAGTTTTTAGAAAGATTTTCAAAAGTGGATATTACACCAGAAATCTATTCTATATTTAAGTTTTAATATAATAAAATTTGGTCTTCTAACAGGGATGAAGAGTTAAATTATGATACATTTAATCCTCTGGTTAGTTAAAAATCACCTCCATTTTTAAAGTGAAATCATTTTATTTTACAGAGTGCTTAAACGTTGCAACATCACAAAAGCCCAATATTTAAACCAACATGTTAATATCTTAAGATCTGAAATTTGTTTTGCATTTGCAACATTTTCTTTTATTTTCCTCAGTTTGTGACCATTATTTTTATTTCTTCTTTTTCCTGTTCAGTTTATCATATCAAACTTTTTTATTACTAATGTGTCTTGTCATATTTTCTTTGAATTTTCTATAAAGTAAGTAAACTTTATTTATATAGCACCTTTCAGACATAAACATCACAAAGTGCTTTACAACAAAGGAAACGTCAATAATAAAAGAATCTAAAATGAACAAAATGAACCAAAAGCCCGTCTGAAGTCTTGAGACTTTTTAAATGCGTCGGTCGACTCGGAGCAGCTTTGATGGAGGGAGACGTTCCAGAGCCTCGGGGCTCCACCTGGACGGACAGAGAGGCTGCAGAAGGTCCAATTTATATTTGGGAGCCTCACCATGAAGTGCTTTAAAAGTTAACACCAAATTTTAAAGTGAGTCCTACAATACACCGTGAGCCAGAGCAGAGAGGCCAGAACCGGAGTTATGTGATCTGTTCTGTGGGTTCTGGTTCAAAGCCCGGCTGCAGCCATGGAGGATTCACTCAGAGCCACTAAAAGGCCGTTACAGAAGTCTGAACGAGAAGAAATAAAAATGGACAGACTTTCTAACTCATCATGTGATAAAATGGCTCGCAGCTTCGAAATATTCCTTAAATGGTCAAATCAGTTGCCAACTAACAGTTTGCAATGATTGTCCAATGACAGAACGCCCAGATTTCTGAGGCTATTTTTGTTCCAAGGGTTTAAAAACCCAAGATGCTTCCTGATTTCCGTGATTTTATCACCAGGAGCTACGATAAGCGTCTCGGTCCTGCCTGAAGTGGTTGTCATTCAGCCAGATTTTAGTGTCAAACAGGCAGTTACTGAGTTCAGTCAATTTAGAAAATTCAGTTTATAAAGACAGAAAAAACAATAAAACATTTCCATAAATCCGCCTTTTAACTCAAAATGTCACATGCAGCAATGAATTGTGGGTAATGCACTTCGCCAAAGTCCGTAAAAATGCGGACTTCACGTAAGAACAGAAATAGGACCCAAAATGGGCAAAAGGCGGATGTGGAGAATGTGGGACACACTGCGACCTTTAACCTTCAACATGAAAGAGGAAGGGAGAGGATTGGGACCGGGCCGAAGCCGGTTCCACAGGGTTCTACTAGCAGCTGCAGAACATTCAGGACCAGAGGACGAAAGTCTGAGACCAGAGAAACTCATCCAGGATTTAGGGGTTTGATTCCTGCAGCAGGTCAGACTGAGACCAGAAGCTGCAGCTGGAGATCTGACTAGAACCAGGAGGGTAGAGACACCACCCGGTTCTACTTCACCGGGTTCTATAGTCCTTCACTAGAACAGACTTTAAATACTGTTGTTAGTTTATAAATCACTGAACAGTTTAGGACCACAACACATTAAAGATCTGCTGTTGTTGCATCAACCTTCCAGACCTCTCAGGTTCTGGTTCTGATCGGTATCTAGAACCAGAACCAAACATGGAGAAGCAGCAAAATTGCTGAAACACCGAGTGCTTTAAATCTAGACTAGAAGCCCACCTGGTTAGTCGCCTTTGAAACATAATTGATTAAGAACGATGGTACTTGACTAAATGTAATATTTCAACTGTTGATTCTTTGTTGCATGACTGTGTTTTTATGATGTAAAGCACTTTGAAAAGCCTTGTTGCTGAAATATGATATACAAATAAAATCTGATTGATTGATGAGCCAACAGGCTGCAGGTGTGAGTGGAGGAAGAGGAGAAACTAACCTGTCTAGAGCAGATTTAAGGTTCACCACATCAGGGCGCCTGCAGGTTATCGGAGGGCAGCACTGAAGTATCGCTGCTCCTGACCTGCAAGGGCACAATGCTCATGAAACCAGCACAAACCTAAACCACAGCGCGTAATGCGCATGGCCCACTGAAACAGCTGACACTTTTATAAATTTTTATTCATTTATTTTTCCACAAATTATGCTAAATAAGAAGACATGATGTGGACCGGGAGGAGGAAGGAGATTCCCAGGTTCCGGTGGCTCTGAGACGTCCAGAGGAGGAGAAGCAACAATGTCTGCTTCATTTCTACTCTTTGGTCAACATTTCCACTGTTTAA